CCAGTCAAGGGCATATGCCAGTTTGTGGGCTCGATCCCCAGTAGGGGGCTTGCAGGAGGCAGCTGATCAATGATTCTCTCTCATCACCGATGTTTCTATCTCTTCCTCAGCAATCAGAGGAAGGCAATGCCCTATCCCACCTCTGCTGCTGCCACTGCCAGAAGCGCATGCCTCGGATGCCCTGGTTACCTGAGCCTTGGCCGGCCCTGGGCAGCTGGGCAGCCACCACCTGAGGTTTGGGGGACTGAGGGGACTGGGGACCCCGGAGGCAGGCATGTGGAGAGGCCGGGCCCACCTGCCACCCCAGCAGGGTTAAGGGGACTGGGCGCTGCCATCTTGTGGCTGTGGGTGCTGCCATCTTGTGGCTGTGGGTGCCATCATCTTTGAGGTCATGGCAGTCAATTAACATATTCCCTTCATATTGGTTGTAGGCACTGCTATCTTTCAGTGGTGTGAGAATCAATTAGCATATTCCCTCTTTATTAGATAATCTATTGCAATGAATAAGATGCTTAAAGACAAGGCAGAAGGAGATAAGGAGATAATACATTTGTGAATTCCTTAATATCCTTGATATATCACTACTGTTAAACTTATAATAAAGGAGGAAAACATCTGGCAGGCTGGAAAATAGTTCTTTGTGAAGTTTTTTTATAGAGAAACTTTATATGGTATACTTTTTGTCTATGTTCCAGTGTCTTTGCAAAATAACATAAATACAAATTGAATACATCAGTTTTTTTCCCTAAGAAAAACTGCATTTTTGTGTTATGATTTAGCATTGGATAATTTATACCTACTGGGATAAAGTGTTAATAACAATGGTATCTACTTTTAGTAAAAGGAGTTCATTTACATTACACAGAAATCCTCATTTGGATGAAGCTTTTACATAATATGGTAGTTGTTTCTGAATAATTGGTTCCTTCCCTGATGTTTAAGTAGCTCTCCATTTTTGTTCTCTCTCAAGACTTTAAAAAGTGAGTTGAACTCACTGTGACACTGACTGTTCATCATATGTATCATTAAGAAAAAAGTATATATCTCAGACAAACAAAACTGAGCTAGCCTGTTTTAGAGGCTCATTTCACCTGATCAGTGAGGCTCAGTGGTTGAGCATCAACCTATAAACCAGGAGGTCACAGTTCAATTCCTGGTCAGGGCACACCCCTGGTTTGAAGGCTTGATCAGATTAATAATTTTCTCTCATCATTGATATATCTAACTCTCTCTTCCTTTCTCTTCCTCTCTGAAATATATATATATATATATAAAATATTATATATATATATATATATATATATAATATTTTTTTTAAAAAAGAGGCTCAAACATTCAAATATATTTTGAAACAAATATATTATTTTCCTAGCCGAAAGCTAAAGAAATTTATAGTACTTAAAAGTTTTAATAATTCTTTTTCTTATGTTTTATAAACACAAATGTTTATTCTTCCTTTAGAAATCAATATTAAAAAATAACCACTATACTAGTATATATAATTCTCCCCTATATTTAGAGTTTATTTGTTTAACTTTTTCTAAAAATTAATATTACATATTTCTTTTTAAAATAACTGTTATAGAAAATTGTCAAAATGAATATTTAGTCAGATAAAAAATGTGCTGAGTACCTATGAGTTAAGTGAATAGCTTAATTATTTTACTTATTCTGCACTGATTACTGATAATATTGCTGCATCTAACATGTCATTTTCCTGGAGCATTATACCATTTTCCTACGTGGAAGAGGTGAAAAACATATATTATAACTCCAAAGATGAAAGAAACTTCCACATAATGCATGGTTACATATATTTCCTTGAGGTAGTAAGTGAATATTTGCCTAAATGTTCTGTTTGAAGCTTTCATGGATTGCATGGGAAACATTTGATCATCTTAAAAGAAAATGAATCTTTTTCCCAAACCCCATAAGATTAACAAAGCAGAAGACAATGTTTTCATCTCTCCTTCCTACTAGCTCATACAGACAGGTTCTCTTATGTTTATTTTCATTTGGATGACAAAAAGGCATACATATCAGTGTAAAGTTTGGAATGGAGTAAAATCTCGGAAATTGTGTGCTGACTTCAACTACTATAGCATTCCATTTATATTTTGATATAGATCTTTATGGAGTATTGCAAGGTCTTGGTTTTTTTTGAAGAGAGAACCTAAATTTGAAGAACAGTCACAGGGTAGTGCAATAAAGGATTTGGGCTGTAGGATCAAACAGGACTAGGTTCAAATCTTGCTCTCTTTCACTTCCCACTCGGATAAATTTAGGCAAGGTACATGGCTTCCATGAGTCCCAATTTCCCCGTTTATAAAGTAGATTTTATAGTAATATTTATTACAAAGCGTCCTGAGAATCAAATGAATGTAAAGGAATTGGTCAATAAATTATCTGCTGTATCAGTTTCTTCCTCTGACAACCTGATATGCTCAGTGATGATTTAGATTATATACCTTTATTTCTATTTGGAAAATTGTGTAGTTTTTTTTTTTTTTCAATTGTAATAGTTACATTTTTAAAAGGGTATATATATATATATATATATATATATATATATATATATATATATATAGTGAACTTGGGCACAATTTAACTTCTTTTTAAAAAAAATTAATTTGAGGTAAGGAGGGCAGGAGGGAGAGGAGAGAGAAACACTCATCAGCTGCCTCGAGCACATGCCTCAACCTGGGATGGAATATACAACCTGGAAATGTGCCCTAACTAGGAATTGAACCCACCATCTTTTGGTGTACAGGATGATGCTCTAAACAACAGAGCCAAACTTGCCAGGGCTTAACTTATTCTTATATAGTACTAGAGGCCTGGTGCACGAAATTCATGCACAGGGGGAGGGTTCTTCAGCCCAGCCTGCAACTACACAACCATTCCACGCCTGGCCTGGCCAGAGGCCCTCCACAGCCAGGGTGGAATGTTTGCCTCATTGCCAAAGCAAAATTTCCACCAGGCCACTCACACTCCCTGCTCTCAGCAGCCGCCCCCAAGGGACTGGGGGACTCCAATAGGGCTGAGAGGACTAGGCGCCACCATCTTGTGGCTATGAGTTCTGCCATCTTTGTGACAGAGTGATGGTAATTTGCATACTACCTTTTTATTTGATAGGATGGCAAGAAAGTAGAATTATATCATAATTCTAATTTTTAGTTGGTAAACCAAAGCAAGAAAAAGTGAATTGATCAGTTATAAAATCCATAGTATAACAGCAAGTTAAGTATTTATATTAAAATTCCAAAGATTTAGACTTTCATATGAACAGAAGAAAGCAAGTTTAAATCATGAAGAAATTATAGGCAATTGATTCTATAAAGAGGACATTTAATACATCGATTTTGAAAGCACAGAGATTCCTTGGAGTTGATTTTTATGTTAATAATAGTAGAAAAGTACTTTGTACCTTTAACTGCATTCAAATTTGTTTCTAGAATACTGGCAGAAAAAGAAAAACATCTTTGAGTGATGGAAAAGTCAAAGTATCATAGCAAAAGAAAGAATCTTTTTTCATGACACTTAATGCCAGATTAATGCTTAGCTTAGCTTCTGATACACACTTGGGGTTTTTTGAGGGTTTTGACAATGCTGTAGCTGTCATGCATTTTATTATACTGCATCACACCTTTTATATTTCATATAAAATTAGATTCTCTGCCCATATATCCAATGCCATGTTTCTATTCAAAATTTTGTTATAATTTCTCATTTTTGATTTCACCAAGATATATTTCACTGAAATGTGCCTTGTTAGACAAAGCATTCTTGCTGTTAATAAATACCCGACAGATGAAAACAATCTGAATGGTGTTCTAATTCCCTAGTTCATTCATGAGATTAACCATCCTACATTTGTTGACCTATGAGAAGAGTTTCTCTAGTTTTATTCCTTCTTCATTTGAGATAGATGAGTGTCTGATGATCTTGAAAAAACATCTTAAAAATCATTTGTAAGAGTTAATGATTTTATGTGAAGAAGATAATCAGCCAATATGATGTGCAATTTTTGTCACGGCTTTAGGTTCCCTCTATTCAGATATGCCATTTCAGACTTTGAAGGCATAGAAAGATCTCACAAAATAAAAACTTTCACATTATTTAAACAATGTAGTATCCACAAAATAAACAGCACACCATTCTTGGTTCACCAAGGAGGCATTCCTTTGCCTTCTTTGGGTCCCCAGCGAACTACAACTCATTAAACCTGAACACATTTGGACGCCAGACACCCTCGCTAACAAGGAAAGGGGTCACCCCAAGGAGAAATGCAGAACTGCCAGTCAGAGTCACCTCCCACCAGAAGCCGACTTTAATGAGTATGTTCTTGCTTCTCAGGGCAATCCTCAGTGCTCTCACTTTGCTCTCGGCAGGAACACCTGGGATTCTTCAGCCTTGCCATGCGTGGAGAACAGCCCAAAATAGGCCCGCTAAGACTTCCAAGATGGATTGCTAGACGTTGTGAGTCACCTCTGAAACCTAAAACTCTGTGCTTTGAGATTTTTGTTTGCATCGTTAGGAATTTCAGCAAAGCTAACCACAATTACTTGTGGCTAATCTTAGCAAATATAAAAGCAAGCGGGGTTTTGCTTTGTTTTGTTTTTTCTTTCAAACTCTATACACATACAAAGGACACATAAAATATGGGGTTGAACAACTTTCATCTTCAACAAAATGCTCATCAATAATAACTTTTAAGTATAAATATGATTTTTCACTAAAAAAGGAGAAGTTTATTTCCCAAGTTGATGTGGTTTTGAACATTTCCCTTTGCATATCATGCTAGTAAAGAATAATTAGATCTTCAATATTAAGCATATAGATTTCATACTGGTTTTTCATAACTGGGAGATAAGTCAGGCTCTGGGAGAACCTACAAGTAGACTGGCATTCTCATGAGACTAAAGCATGAACAGAACTGGGCTCTACAGAATAGTTATCATGCAAAGACTATGCTTTACCAGAGTGAATTCCATACCCACACCCTGTGTCCTTTTCATGTGTCTTTTCATTAAAGAGATATAAATATGTTAGAAGGGTTGTCTTTTGATATATGTACCTATAGCAAAGTGGGAGGTAGAACCTGAAAATAACTCTGAAACAGAAAAAGGATGATATAATATAATGCCTGGTAAATATAGATTCAATGATTAACAGAATCTAGGTTGCCTCCTACTTAAAGGAGAATCATATACACTGTTATGTAACTTTATGGTCAAACCAGGCTGAAATGTTTGGTAATACATGAAATCTGGAATGCAAGAAAAAAAAAAAAAAGGAAATGTGAAACAAAAAAAGAGAATGGGAAGTACAGAGCAAGAAAGAAAGGACAGAGAAAGGAAAGACATGGAAATGGTAGTATTGGTGCCATTGACTGTCTATTTCAGATCCAAGGGATACACAAAGACAAAAACATCTGAATAGATGAAGCCATCATCTCTCAATTACAACGATCGCATAGGGAGAAAGAGAGAACACACTGTAGGAAATGAAGGTAAACATTCAAAAGCTAATTTCAACTGATTGTTTCAGTTTATCTTAATAATCTAAGTACATTTATCAAAGCTTTAAGTGTTGATGTCAGGTTGATGGAATTACAGTCTTTAATGCCTCACGTTCAAGTCCAGATGATAAATATGACCCACACTTCTAACACCACATTAGCCAATGTTCTTACGTCACTTGAGCAACACATACCCTAAAAAACATTAAGAGTACCAAGCATTATCATCAACCTTAGTTTGTAGAAAGGAGAAAATTGAGACTTAAATAAGTGAAATCAGTTGTCCTAGATTACATTGTGTTTGCTGGGGCTGAGTTAATGGAGAACCTGATTCTGCTTACAAACACTACCATACTTTCTACCCAAAGTTATTAGATCCAAGATTGAGCAATGCTGTAATTTTAGAAACTTCTAAAGAGTACATGAATTCTTTTAGGCTACATGTGCAATTGTTTGGTTCTGTAAGTTTGGTCAGAAATTTAATTCTGTAAGGCCAAACTGCCTAAATAATTACTGGAAGAGGAGGGTATATATAAAATACCTTATGGAGGAGTAGAATACACACCCAGAAATGAGGTTTCTGGCCTTTTCCAGAAAAGGACATTTTCTTAAAGTTTGAAGGGAACAAGGAGAAGGGGTTGGATTGGTTTTCGGTGCTCTGAGGTGATTGGCAAAGACTAGAATCTGGAACCAATGAATGCTAGAGCTGGCTCACATTGGTTTAGTGAGAACCAATTGTTAAATTTTCTGAAAATTTGTGAGCCAGTTTTTAATTACAATCATTAATAAAGATTAATAATTAAAGTAGGCAATAGACACTTAACATTCATTATTTCTTAATTATTTTATATTTTACCATTATCTGTGATGTTGAGGTTATTTATATCTATTATATCTATGTGGTGGGAATGCTATACCTGGCTTGTTTCTATGCATCTCTTTGTAATTTCTCTTTCAATAACTTTAAATTAGTAACCCAAAGTAGACAGAGGTGAGAATATTGCCACAAGGGAAACTGGCAAGCAGCAATGTTATTTTGTTGAATGTCTAGAGCAGGGTTCATAAAACTAGGCCTTGTCCATCATTTGTTTTTATAAATAAAATTTTTATTTTATTTTATTGATTTTTCACAGAGAGGAAGAGAGAGGGATAGAGAGTTAGAAACATCAATGAGAATCATCAATCAGCTGCCTCTTGCACACCCTCTACTGGGGATGTGCCCGCAACCAAGGTACATGCCCTCAACCGGAATCAAACCCGGGACCTTTCAGTCCGCAGGCCGACGCTCTATCCACTGAGCCAAACCGGTCCCGGCTATAAATAAAGTTTTATTTGAGCACAGCCACACCTATTCACTTATGTACAGCATTGTCTATAGCTACTTTCACACTACAATGGCAGAGCTGAATAGTTTTGAAGGAGCATATGGGCCACAAAGCCTAAAACATTTACTATCTGGTCCATCATAGAAAAAGTTGATCCATCCCTTATCTAGACTTAAAAAAGTGATGAGAAGAATATTAGTAGTGCAAACTGAGCTTAAAAGAAAGTTGTTTGTAGCTCTTAGATTGTGAGTAGCACAAAAAACTAAAAATATTCTTCTAAATTTGGAAAACTATTATCTGATTCAGCAAAATAATCATTCTTATTATTGATGAATGAAATTTCAACATAAGCATGCTGAACCTAAATGAGATTTTAGTTTGATACATATAATCTGCATGGGAGTGAGAAGTAGTTTAACAGTAGATCACTAGTCAGACTTAATGACAACAATTTTATTGGGTCAAGACTTAGTGGATCACCTCACACCCATTAGAAATAGTAGTACATTAAAAAAAATACAGAGAATAAATGCTGGAGAGCATGTAGAGAAGTTGTAATTCTTTTGTACCATTGGTGGGAATGTCAAATGGTACACCCACCATAGGAGTTCCTAAAAAAATTTAAAATACAACTATAATACCACATGATCCAACAATTCCACTTCTGGGTATGTATACAAAAGAATTAAAAGCAGGGTCATAAGGAGATATTTATACCCATGTTCATAGCAGTGCTATTTATAATAGCCAAGAGGAGGAAGCAACACAAATGTCCATCAACAGATGAATGAATAAACAAAATATAGTATATACTTAAAATGGAATGGTATTTAGCCTTAAAAAGGAAGGACTAATTATTATACGCTACAGCATAAAACTTGAGGACATGATGCTTAGTGAAATAAGCTAGTGAAAAAATAACAAATACTGTATGATTCCCCTTATACAAAGTAGTAAGTGGAATCTAGAGCAGTGAAATTCATAGAAGCAGAAAGTAGGTGTGTGGAAGGGAGCAATGGGGAGTTGTGGTTTATTGATTTAGTTTTAGTTTTGCAAGATGAAAAGTTTTGGAGATCTGTTGGACAACCAAGTGAATATGCTTAACACTATTAAACTATATACTTAAAATGATTTAAGATGATACATTTTATGCTACATGTTTTACTACAATTACTAAAAAGTGGATACAACCCATTAATCAAATCATGATTGAAGTGCAGCTACAGGTTGGTTATGCATATAAGAATTGAGCAAAAATCAACTAAAAGGATTCACTGAGAATCAATTGGTCACATGGAATTTATAATAGAGAATACTGTATATTGTATTATTACTTGTAAATTGTATGTCACAGATCCTTTATATGAGAAATGTGTAGAATAAAACTACATATAAATATACACACATACGTTTTCCTACCCAGAACACTGGTGTTAAGACCAGGAACTGAGGTCCACTTTGATGGAATGACACTAGCCTGGGTTCAATTCTTCAGCTCTAGAATTTCTACGTTGTCCCTTTTAATGACTTCTCTGTTAAATTTCTCATTTTTACTGTGTATTGTTTTCCTGATTTTGTTGAATTGTGTTTCTGTCTTCTTTAACTCACCGAGCTTCCTGAAAACAACTATTTTGAATTATTTATTGGGAAAATTGCAGATCACCATTTCCTTGGGTTGGATAATTGGAAAATTATCATTGTGTTTCCTTTGGTGGCATCCTGCTTTCTTAATTTTTCATGTTTCTTTAATTCTTGAATTGCTACCTTCATATTTGAATAAACACTCATGCCCTTCAGTGTTTCTTGATTGTCTTCAGGAGAGAAACACATTCAATTAGTCTTGTTAGAGCTTCCGAGGCTTTCTAAGACCTTTTCTATGGATACTCTTGCTCCACACTGTAGGTACTCCTGATCTACACTTCTTGTTCCCTCTTAAATTCTAAGATTATGTGCTTTCTCTTGATCCTGCAAAGCCAGGCCGGTCATTAACAACCTCCCAAATGCTCTCCCTAGGGCGGTGCTGAATCCTCAGGTTGTGCTCTCTCCCAATGCCACAGTGTCAGCCTGGCTCTCTGCATGCCATCTGCCAAGGCTCATTCTTACAGCTTTGGACATGCACAGGGAGCCAGCCATGGGGAGGGATGGGAGGGTGTGGGTGAGGCACACAGAAGGTTGGTGGTAAAGTGAAACTCTTCCTCAGTGTATCCAATTTTGAGCTTTTGGGCTTCTCTGCTGGACTCCCAGGCTTCTACAATGGTAATCTTAACCCAGTGTTTTTTGAGAGGAAGATGGAAGAAAACTCAATTCCACCATCCTGCTAACATAATTCCTCTGATACTTTTCTACTTGAGTCTATTCCTTTCTATCTTTTTAAAAAATATATATATTTTATTGATTTTTATACAGAGAGAAAGGGAGAGAGATAGAGAGTTAGAAACATCGATGAGAGAGAGTCATCGATCAGCTGCCTCTTGCACGCCCCCTACTGGGGATATACCCGCAACCAAGGTACATGCCCTTGACTGGAATCGAACCCAGGTCCCTTCAGTCCCCAAGCTGACGCTCTATCCATTGAGCCAAACCAGTCCCGGCTATTCCTTTCTATCTTATTAAAAAAAAAAAAAAATACTGGGATTGAGCCAGCTACCCTGGCATGTGCCCTGACTGGGAATCAAACCAGTGACCGCTCAGTGCAGGGATTGACATTTAACAATTGAGCCATCCTGGCCAGGTTCTTTAATCACCTTTTATTTTTTTCTTCAGTCACCTATTCAACACGTATTCATGGCGAGCCTAGCATGTGCCAGGCACTGGGGTGCAAAGATAATGGGAGACTGTTATGTTTGATAGTTAGGGGGGCTGAAATCTAACTGTGAGGAAAAGACTCCTGTTAGTCAGAAATTAAAATGTTATAATTAAAGAGACATCTAAATCAGAGTGCAGCAATCAGGTAATGCTGTGCTGAGGAAGTGATATTTTGAACAGAGTCACAAAGGGTGAATAATAAAAGTATAAAGATGCCAAAAGGGGAAAATAGAAAATGTGCCTTAGTTTGGGTTTCTCTGAAAACAGCCTGTGAAAAGGATTCTTGTGCAGAGTCACTTGTAGCATGAACTTGGGAAGCTGGAGTGAAACAATGTGAAGCAGAGAAAGAAGAGAAAGTCAATAAAGGTTGTGGTTTTTATTTCATTTCAACCGTGGACAACAGGGTCTTTATTCCACTGAAGACCTTTGGCAGAACACATAAAATGTACTGCAGAATTGTCTCTCCCAAGAATGAGGGGTGGGGCATCTCTCCAACTCCTATTCTTCCTATCCTCATTGGAGTGTGTGAGTGTGTGTGTGTGTGTGTGTGTGTGTGTGTGTGTGTGAGAGAGAGAGAGAGAGAGAGAGAGAGAGAGAGAGAGAGAGAGAGAGAGAGAGAGAAGGAATGTGGAGAATTGATGTTTCTCTCTCTCTTTTTTTTTAAATATATATATTTTATTGATTTTCTACAGAGAGGAAGAGAGAGGGATAGAGAGCTAGAAACATCGATGAGAGAGAAACATCGACCAGCTGCCTCCTGCACACTCCCTACTGGGGATGTGCCCGCAACCAAGGTACATGCTCTTGACTGGAATCGAACCTGGGACCTTTCAGTCCACAGAACGACATTCTATCTACTGAGCCAAACCGGTTTCAGCCACACCCTCATTCTTTGTAGCCAGTGACAAATGTGGTGGAGTTGAGGGTCTTTAAATATCTTGTGCCATTTTCTAAGTGTTCTTCACTTATTGAGAGCTGAGGCCTGCCCAAATTTTCCTTAATCTCCCTCAATATGCCTTATAATTTCGATAGATCTCCCCCCCACAGTCTTGTGTAGGTAATATGTTTAATCTCACTTTTTAATGTTGTGAATGTTCATTTATGTCTAAGTCAGCTGTTTTAGTGAAAAGCTAGTGACCTCAATGAGGACTGCTCTCTTCTTGGCATTTTGAACTCTTGCATGATATCAGAACAGTAGTTGACCATATGATAGTTTAGTGTGCAATGTGCTATGTTATCTTCAATAGAAACATTTGTGGAAATTAACTTTTGTGTGATAAAAATATCTTTAGGACTGTTTCTTAGGTTCTGTTATTCCTAGTTCTTATGAGTGCAAGAAATAGTTAGAAGAATTATATTAATTAATTCATGATCAGTACGCAACAGAGACCAAACTGAATCTCATAATTACAATATTAAAGAGAATACTATGCACTAATACAAAACATGTGAATAGGAAAATGATTTAGTAACTTAAAAACAAAATATAAAATTTAGGAATAATCAGATTAGAATAACTTTCTCTACATTAAAATAATTTGTAATAGAAACTAGTGTCTTGGATAAATAAGGTGGGTAATAAAGATTATTACTGCAAATATTATTCAAATATTAACTAGTGCTTTATTGTTTATATTTTTCAGGTTTTATTTGAAAAATGACTAACTTCTAGTATTTCCCCAAACATTTTAATTTATATTTCTCTCCCCCAAACTGGACATTCTGAGATTGCCTATGCATCAGATTAAACTTATTTTACAGAAAAATGAAAAAGGGCTTAGGTATAAACAGCTGCTTCAAAGTAAGAGGTTTATGGGATTTAAGAGATTTTTATAACACCACCAACATTAAAAATTCTCTAAGTAACGATTGAAAAACATAGAAATACCTCATCACTAGTATATATTTATAACTTCATATTCAGTTTTTTCCCTCTTGGAACTTTTGAGTAACATGATTTTTGTGTGTGTATGTAGATATCATTGTCCCAAATAGTTAAAATATACCTATTCTCATGAGTAAAAACCTTTGATTTTATTTGAGCATATGTGCCATTGGAATCAGGTTTTAAGGTTGTAGCTGCTCAGACTCATTTATAAAGTCCACTGGCCTCCTTATCAACAAGGCATAAATATAAATCTACATCATGATGCTGTAAAAAATAGACATGCAAGTATTGGCATGTCTGTTCTAAAAGTGGAGCCACTGAAGTATAGATTATAATTAGAATGAGAGACAAAATTATATTTAGGGCCATTAGCAGGGCTTACTTCCTGAAATACATGCCTGCCAAGTCATTATGTGTAATATGTTTAATAAGTCATATGTTTAATATCTATCTGGATCCAAGGACCCAATCTTTTTTTTTTATATCCACTCTTCAGGGCCACATATCCCCATGCTACATACTCAGCATATTGTTAACTATTGATATTTCTCTGATCTCTAATAGCACCTTTTCCTCTTCCTTTACAATATTTTCAACATGAAATTATAGGAATATTAAAACTTTAGAGTTAGAAGAAAAATATAAAATTATATAAGTGGAGTGCTTTTCCACTTCAAAACCAGTTAGGTATGTATACTGCTAATAAATGTTTAGCAATCAGCTCCCTTGGAGAAAAAGAGCAACCCTGATTCAAAGCATTTGAAAATTTCTATGGTGTAAATACTTCCATACTGGCCAATTTCAAGCTTCCAACAGATGACGTCATTGAATGTCGTGTCATTTATATATTTCCACCACACAAATACAATACATCTAAATGACCTCAAGAGCATTGATAAATAAAATTGATGAACCTCTAGACTCACCAAGAAGCAAAGAGAGAGGACCCCCCCAAAAAAAACAAAATAAGAAATGAAAGAAGTAAAATAACAATGGACCCCATAGAAGTACAAAGGATTGCTAAAAAAAATACTATGAACAACTCTATTCTAACAAACTAGACAACATGGAGGAAATGGACATATTCCTAGAAAAATACAACCTTCCAAAACTCAATCAGGAAGAATCTAAAAATCTCAACAGGTCAATAACTATGGAAGCAGTTGAAGCAGTTGAAGCAGTCATCAGAAAGCTTCCAGCAAACAAAAGCCCAGGGCCAGATGGCTTCACAGGGAAGCTTTTCCAAACATTCAAGAAAGAACTAAAACCTATCCTCCTCAGACTATTCCAAAAAATTCAAGAGGAAGGAACACTTCCAAGCTCATTCTATGAAGCCAGCATCACCCTAATACCAAAACCAGATAAAGACAACACAATGAAAGAGAATTACAGGCCAATATCCCCTATGAACTTAGATGCCAAAATCCTCAACAAAATTCTAGCAAATCGGATCCAGCAGTATATCAGAAAGATCATACACCATGACCAAGTAGAATTTATCCAGGGGAATGCAAGGATGGTACAATATCCGCAAATCAATAAACGTGACACATCACATATACAAATTGAGATAAAAATCACACCATCATATCAATTGATGCAGAAAAAGCATTTGACAAAATCCAACACCCTTTCTTGATAAAAAACTCTCAGCAAGGTGGGAATAGAAGGATCATGCCTCAACACACACAAAAAAGCCATATATGACAAACCCACAGCCAACATCATATTCAATGGGCAAAAACTAAAACCATTTCCCCTAAGAACAGGAACAAAACAGGGATGTCCACTCTCACCACTCCTGTTTGACATAGTACTGGAAGTACTAGCCACTGCAAAAAGTCATCTGGAATAAAAAAAGAACCCGAATAGCTGTAGCAATCCTGAAAAAGAAGAGCAAAGTAGGAGGGATCTCAGTACCAGATATCAAGCCATATTACAAAGCCACTGTTCTCAAAATAGCCTTATACTGGCACAAGAATATAGATAAATGGAATAGAATAGAGAACCCAGAAATTGACCCAATTAATACTATACTCAATTAATTTTTGACAAAGGAAGCATGAACATAAAATGGAGTCTTTTGGGACAGTCTTTTCAATAAATGGTGTTAGGAAAATTGTACACATACATGAAAAAATAAATAAAACTAGACCACCAACATACACTATACACAAAAATAAAGTCAAAATGGGTAAAGACAGGAAACCATAAAAATACTAGAGAATCCACAGGCAGCAAAATCTCAGACATATCCTGAAGCAATTTCTTCACCAATACCGCTCCTAGGGCAATGGAAACTAAAGGGAAAATAAACAAGTAGTATTTTAAAATAAAAGGCTTTTGCACAGCAAAAGAAATAATCAACAATACAATAAGAAAGCCCAATGCATAGTAGAACATATTTGCCAATGTTATCACCAATAAGGGTTTAATCTCCAACATTTACAGGGAACTCATACAACTTAACAAAAGGAAGATAAACAATCCAATCAAGAAATGGGCAATGGACCTAAATAGATACTTTTTGAAAGAAGACAGAAGAAAGGCCAACAGACATACGAACTCAAAGTATCTAATTATTGGAGAGATGCAGATCAAAACGATAATGCGGTAC